TCTCTCTCTCTCTCTCTCTCTCTCTCTCTCTCTCCCTCTCTTCCTCTCTCTCTCTCTCTCCCCCATGTGTTTCCCAATTACAATTCACCCAGTAGAGGAACTGCACAAAGGTGTTAGCCTGCTGGTTGAATGGCAAACAAATGCTGTGTGGTCAAGAAAACCTCACAGAACAAGACAGGGAACCAAGGTAAGCTGGGAGATTACCACTACCTGATGAAAGAATTATCAGTTACTATTCAGAAGTACTTCCTAATTGGGGACTCCAAGAAATTATATAGATCTTTATTACCGAATTATCCAACAAGAGAGGAGCTGATGCCCCCACAACAGAACAGGTCCTCTACTAAGTGGGTCTGTGACAAAGACCACAGTGAGGTCATTAGCCACAGCTAGGTCAGAGAAGTTTTACAAGGAGCCATAGCAACCCAGCCCAGCCTAGAGATAGATGCCTGGTGCTCCAGAACCAGGAGAAACCACACTCAGGAAAGTGAATGTATGTGTACCCTTCGCCTTCCCTCCCCACAGGACAGCAGTTTGCCTGGGTCCCTGGGTCCAGGCCAGGGTGGCATCCTGTGGAGCTACTGCCTTGAGGGCTGAACTTTCCGAGGGGCCAGGAGCGAACAGCTTCCATGTAACCTCTACTTGACCTTCCCTGAAACACTCCAGTTCCTTGGAGATCAGAAAGTTCTGCCTCACCACAGCAGAAGCTAAAGGGTTCCCGGACAACTCCTTGGCCAGTAGCTCCCCTGAAGCTGCCTGGGATGGTACTCACCCCAGCGCAGCCCAGGTCCCTTCCTTTTCCATCCTGTCTCACAGCCCAGCTGTCCAGTCTTCCCTGAATGCTGCAAGTCTCCACTATCTTCCTGAAGTTCATCATGGGTCATCTGTACTGGATGTGAGTGGGAGCAGTCTGACTTGGTGAATAAGGACAGGTGTCTCCAAAGGCATTAGGTAATGTGCAGCACAAGAACCTGGAAGCCCATATTCCTACTTTCTGGCTTCGAATAACACAGTGAGACTGAGGGACACCACGATAATCTCCTAATTTTTACCATTTCAAAACTGAAACAGCTGGAGACCAAACTCTGAGCTTGGTCCATGGACTGTGAATGACAGTACCTGTAGGACACACAGCTGTGCCAAGGCCTGCATGGTGGCTGGGACACTTACCAGGAATGGATAGGGCCCTGATTTCAGGAACAGAGGTATCTGGGTGAGTTTCAAAGATGCAAAGTTCTACCTACCTCCATGTTGCTCTGAAGCAACCATCAGCCATCTGATCCCATTGTTGTGGAAGCTCGAGGCATATATGGAGTTAATGATGCCACACACTGTGTCCCAAGTTAGGGGGACATGTGATAGGTTAGGTCAACTGCATTCTGTCTTAGAACTTTGACTTCTGAAAGGAGGGACAGAAGTAGATGATGATCAGGAGTTCAGAATTCCAGGCCTCAACAGCTTGGAATATTTGTCCCATACAGTCTTCTAAACAAACGAGCAAGCAGGTATCCTACTAGTAAATTCCCTCATTTGCTGACAGATACAGTTGGTTTCTGTTACTTGTGACCAGGAACCTAGTACTCGAGCTCCTCCATACCCACTTCTTTAGTCCTGTCTTCACATTCCTGGAGGTGAGACTGCATAGTATGTCAGGGTCCGGACTGGTTTGTAGTGAAAATGTTCTGTGTTGGAACTCTTGTATTATAATTTTCTCTCTGCCCATGAATCAAGAGCAGTGTTTTTAATTTTTAGAAAACTTGTTTGGCTAATATTTATTGAGCTTTTCCCACAACCAGGCACTGCAAGTTACTGTGGGGAATAAGCATTCAGTGCTGACCTGGCCCTCAAAATGCCACATGAGGAAAGCAGACTCCAGCACTGAGCTAGCTGTAGGCAAATGTGAACATGATATCATTGAGGGAGACACACACACCTGTGTGCAGGGTAGGAGGGAGACGCTAATTTAGACCTGATGGGAACAAGACTATGTGCACTGCCGAAGTAGACTGGAAATGTTGTGGGGGCTGTGAGAGCCAGATTAGGAACTTGAACTTGATTTTGTAACTTTAAAAGGGGGAACTTGTGTAATTTTCTGAGTATCGGAGTGGAGGCATTAATTATATGAATCTCATTAGGTGTAAATTGAGTGAAATCACCGATCCATAGACCAATCTGCTGCTGCTTCTTCTGAGACCTAAGCTCTTCCGGGAAGACTGAGTTAGTGATGAATAGAGCTTCTAAACCCCAGAAATTAGAAAATGTGTGCAGGTGCACAGTCCCCAGCACATAGTAGGCACTTAATGACCATTCATTTCCTCACATTTCTGCCTATTTATCACAAGGAAAGTTCTAAGACAAAAATGAATGTACTATCTAAAGAGCCAGTAGAGCATAGTGCTCAGGAACACCACCTTGGGCTTAAATACTGCCATATAGCTCACTGCTTATATGACCTGGATCAAGTTGACTCACTGTTCTCATGCTGCAACCTCACTGGTAAAGTGGGAAACAACACCTTCATTATTGGATTACTTGAGTGTTATTGCACAGTGTGTACACATGCTTAGTACCGTGCCTGGTCGGTGCACACCAGGCATCCAACACACGTGATCTGGCTAAAACAAGCACAGCCTCTCCTGGTGGAGTTCTTCCCTAACTTTGGTTAGTAGACCAGGCCCCCCTCACCCCCCAAAAAAGAAAGAAGAGAAGAGGAGGAGGAGAAAGAGAGGAAGAGGAGGAAGAAGAAGAAGAGGAGGAGGAGGAGGAGGAGGGAGGGGGAGGGGGAGGGGGAGGAAGAGGAAGAGAAGAAAGGGAACATTTAGTTAGATTTTAGCTTCCTTAGAGTTTTGTTCAAGCCTTCATCTTTCGGAAATGAAAGAACAAATTAAATCTCAGAGGTTTTCTATTCTTGTTGCCAGTATTAAGTAGGCATTGCCATTATCAAAAATTACAAGGGACATTCAGAAATTATAAGACCTGGCCCTTCTCTGAACAGACACTCACCCCTCTGGGACCTTCAAAACCCATCAGAAATTCACCACCACGGCTCTCAGCCCTCATCACCATCATTACTCAGAGCCACGGAGGTTGCTTGCACCCTAATCATATGTGGCAGTGCCATCTATAAGTCTGAAAGTGCAGAAGCTCCGGATGTGCTGGGGGCTCTGAGCCCGGAGCCTGAGTGGCCCTGGAGCGGGTGTGGACCCTCCTTGTGGTCTGTCTCTGTTCCTTCCCACCGCCTGCACCCCTTCAGCTTGCACAATCCCAGTCGGCTCCCTGGCACGCACCTGGGTCACCAACTAACAAGCCCCTGTCTGTGTCAGAAACTCTCATGATTCTGTTGGACCCACACCCACCTCTCACCCATATGGCCTCTCTCGGGAATTTCAAAGTTAAATCTGAAACTCCACGGCTGAGAGTTGCTTCTTCATTTTCAGTTGTTCTACTTCTGTCTTGCTGCTCAGAGCAAGGGCAGACTGCTCTGGCCAGGCCTGGAATCTGAGGGAGGATCATGGGGCTAAAGGGAATTAAAGGGGATGACACACACGCAGGTGACTCTCAGAATGTGATGGCAGCATCTGCCCACTGCCCAGGGCCTGGGACAAGGTGATGCAGAAACAGCTTGTGCCCTCAGAATGAGGTCATCTTTGTTACTCATCCTCCTGCCACCAGCACCCGAAGTTGCTTATTTCCCTGGGAAGTGGAGACCCTTCTCTTATAGGTTGAGCTGTACCCCTTTCTCCAAGAAAGAGAAAGTGAAGTCCTAACCCCAATATCTCAGAGTGCAAATTTGTTTGGAAACAGGACTGTTGCAGATGTACTTAGCTAAATTAAAATGAAATCATAGCTGAGCAAGGTGGACCTGTTATCCAGTCTGACTCATGTCTTCCGATAGGGTGAAGCCCACCCCTAGACTGCTTCAGGGAGAATGTGCCTGATGAGTGATGCAGAAAAATTTCAATCCCTGAAACACCAAGAACTGCCAGTGACACGGAAGTGAGGAGGAAGATGAGGGACAGCATGACTCCATCCACACCTTGACTTCAGGTTCTCTGGGACTGTGAGACAACTCATTTCTATTGTGGTACTTTGTCACAGCACCTGTGGAGAATGCACCTGCCACCCTCCTCTCTTCTCTCCCTCCAGCCCTGGGGCCCCTTCAGAGCTCTGGATCCCATACCTCCATATGCTCACCTTCTCCTCTTCCCTGATCCTTTCTTCCCAGGCAAACATGCCCCAACCTCTCTCACCTGGAATGTCTCCTCTACTCTCTTCCCTTTACTTAGGGCCTTCTTTCAGGATGATACTTCTAGAAATAAAAAGTTATGCTCAGATCCTATTCTTTACCCTGCTCATTCTTTGTGCCTCCATTCTTGAGCATTCTTGATCAGCTTTTGTGTTCATCACTTCTCAGGAAAGTTCTGACGAGGTTGCCCTGGATAACTATCCTGTGGCTGCCTTTCTCAACTTCTCTGGTCATGAGATCTTGTTGATCAGTCTCCTTGAAGTACTTTTCATCTCGATTTATACAAACTCTTGGTTTTCTTCTTACCTCTTAGAATACTATTTTATTTAATTTTATTGTATATTTTCGCATTTTTCTTCTATCACTCATGACATCAGTGCATTTTTGATCTCTCTAGCTGTCCTCCAAAGGCTAGGCAGAGCAAATCCTGATTTGGATTCTGGGGCATCAGGTCTATTTCTTGACCAAGATAGCCAGGAGGAAAAAGACCACAAGAGTCAGCCTGTCTTTTGAGCCCTTAGAAGACAGCCCAAGGGGCATGTGTAGGGAAGAGGAGGAGAGACGAGGAATGGTAGCCAAATGGAGTCACCCAGCTCCAAGGCATGAGGCTGGTGGTTCCTTTGTCTCTAAAGGGGACAGTGCTGTTCACTAAGTTGTTGTTTCCTCAGTGCATCTTGCTTGGTAGGTAAGAGCAACAGGAAAGTGAGGCAGATTCTCAGCGATGAACAAAAATGAGGCTACAGGGATGGGGATTTAGCTCAGTGGTTCCAGCTCTGAGCAAGTGCAAGGTCCAGAGTTTGATCCCCAGTACCAAAAAAAAAATGAGGTTACTGTGGTGGCTATGGGCACCATAGTGTAAAGGTGTACTCAGTGACTAAAAGAGATGTTCAGAGTGGAGTTTGTCAGGGTTCTGCCCTTCCTGTCCTCCAACAACACACGGACCTGTACCAGTTGACACATGCTGTGGCTTTACCCACTAGTGTTTCCCAAACCTTATCACCCAATATTAACAACTATTTAGTCACTGAAAAAAGGGTTCCCTAGTCCAGTAAATTTGAGCAGCATGAGGTTAAACAGATGTCTTGGTTTCAGGATTTCTTGGAGCCTTTGATGTGCTACAGTTCAACGGGGCTCTAGTCTCAGACAGAGAATGCAGTATTTCTAACACTCATTCATCAGAGGTTTCCCTTTTTAGAGTACAAGAAACAGCACCCTGTGAAACATTGTAACTCCTTAAACATATTTTGAAAAAGCAGATTTTCTCCCCAAGGTACTGTGCCAGCCCTGACTTTTCTCCTGTGATTTGCTCTATTTTTCCCTAGAAGTGTTTTACAGGAAATCCATACTAAACATGCTGAAAACAAAACTCATCTTCACCCTCTAGCCTCCTTATTCTCTGCCCATCTTTCACCCCTCTGTCCTCTTTCTTGGGTCTAATTTAATCTCTGGCTTCACTAATTTAATCTGATAAATATATTTCAACTTTCTTTCCTTCCCTCTGTGCTGGGTTCATGCATTAGTTTAGTTCTTCCTCCTTATTCTCCTCCTTTTCTTCTCTTTCCTCCTCCTCTTCCTTCTTCTCCTGCTCTCCTTTCTTCTTTTGAATCTCACCTGAACAAATATAGGCTTGCTAAGTGATTTTCTTGGCCCCAGGCTCACCTTCTCAAGTCTACCTGCCATGCCTATGTCACTGCCATCTTTGTAAGATGGAGAGCACATGCCCACCCCACCTGGGATCTTCCCTGACTCTTTGCTGCCTCTGGGCTTGGCTGATGTGCGAGCACCTTAGCATGGGGTCTAAGGCTTCCATGACCCTCGCTAGGATGTCTCCAGCCTCTCCTCTCTTCACATCCCTGCTGCAGCCACTCTCACTACTGCAGTTCCTCCTATGTGAGGCCTCACTGGCTCATTATGGACCCTCTGACCATGCATCCATGTACAGAACCTCCTTCCTGACCCTCAGATGCAGACCACAGAGCTAGGCAGTCCTTGCTGTTGGCAGTCCCACCCTTGTCTGGTCCCTCTTCCCAGACTGTCCAGTCATGGCCACACAGCATTACTCATTCCTGTACCCAGCTGGATGGAATCTGAGTCCTTGGAGATCAGAGGCTGTGCCTGTTCCCTGTGTGGCTTGCGTGCTGATAGCCATTGGGTGTTCAGCTGAGGACCTTGCTGACAACTTTGCTGCTGTGTAGCACTGTTATGTCCACAGCTTCCTTGTAAGCTGCCATTTGCCTTTCAGAGCCTGGATATTGCTTTACAAAATCTGGTATTTCCTAAATATTAAAATAGAAACTCTGAACCAGTTGGAACAGAGGTTAGGTAGAACCCTTGAAGATATCGGTGTAGGAAAAGATTTTATGAACAAAAC